AGGTCTAGATGACCACTGTACCGTTGTTTTAGACTCTTTTAAACGCGATATTCGTCGTCAGGAGCCCAAGTTGTACTAGTCCTGTTACTCTCGAACAACTCGGATAAAGTCGATGTAATTGTGATACACTTTTGAAAGAATCACCCAGTTGGCATATACCTAAGTTCTTTTAGTTTTTGCTTCTCTATGGAATGATGTATTACTGAAGTTTAATTTAAAAATAGTTAAGCTTTGAAAATTTAACATTTTAATTTATAATTTCAGCTTTGTACTAGAGACTCGAATTTCTTTTAAAACGAAGCTTATTCTGTTCTGAATATAACCATAACCGCAAAACTGTTTCATGTACAGCCACGTCTTCCAGAAATCTATCTTTTTAAGATCAGGTATGCCAGAACTCACGGTTTTCTAATAACCCGGCTTCGGAGCCTATTAAAACACATAAGTGAGCCAAAAGAAAGAGCATAGTACAAAACCTCTAAACCCGGAGTTTAAGTTGGATTGGATCAGTCGCTCTGGAGTTAGTTTTTCATGTAACATGCCTATTCTGTTTAAATTTTGTCTTAAGTGTCGTTTGCTGCAAGTGTCTATAGAGACAATAATGACCAAAATGTAACTCCTAACTTTTTTGATTTATGGGCTTTTATATATTTTCGATCTCAGGTAAATGCAAAACTGTTTAATATCTTTTCCAATGAACCATCGCTTCTATGACGATGGTATTGTACTTTTGGATTTCTGAGGGTTTGGCATTTCTAATGATGATCCACGAAAATATAAGGTCTAAAAGCGGATTTTGGCATGACCCTGTATCCAAAACTATAATAAGAGATTCTGGACGTCATGCTGAGTTAATACAAAGTTGTTCTGATCCGGAGATTTCTGTTGTTCTGATTTTGAATGTCTGAAAATCCTTGTCGGCACAGCTTTTGGCAGGTTTAAAATTATACGACAAAATATTTACTAGAAACCATCTGGCATCGGTTTAACTGTTAAAAGACAATCAATTTCTTGAGATCATGTTGCAATCAATTTGACTACGGTGGGACGATCTCGCTTCTGGCACAGTAAACCGCGCATGCTAAATTCTTTCGGTATGCTTTTTCTTCTCAAGGAAAAGGTAAAAAGTAAGCTAGATTTTATGCTGAATGCATACAGTCTGAACAATTTATCTTGAGACATATATATATGTAAACCAATATATGTTAGGATGGCTTCTGGAAACGATAGCTATTTTGTTTAGTTTCTAATGCATGTTACGTGTACCTGTTCATAACTGTGTCAAAATAAATGTTGTTGCTTGTATAAACTATAGAAAGAACTGAAAAATAAATGTCGATATTCTAAAATTATCTGCGTTACGAAGCTCCTCTAAAGATACCTGCCATAAACGACTGCAATCTGCAATGCTAGTCTAAAGATATTGCTTACTAATGCGATTTCCAGCCCGATAATTATATTTAGAAGAGATACATCTTATACTCTTGACGATGGACTGTCGTATTTAATAAAATTTCATTATTACTTATAGTAAGCTCTTCAAGCACAACACCGAGTACAACACGGAGTACAACGCCTAGTACAACATGGAGTACAACACTGAGTACAACGTCAATACCCAGTAAGTTGTATAGTTCTTATTGCATGGAAAAGTTAGTTAAATAAATCGAAAAACGAATATGTGTGTAATAAAATGCTTGCAGTATGCTGATGGTCTAACTAGTTGTCCATGCCAAGCGATTAAACAATTTTTATATTAATCACAATCAGTTATGCTAATCTGGATATCATGATGACGAATATGATACCGTTGCGACTGATACAAGAACCTTGAGCAGACTTCGAAAAGTCTTAGAATACTAAGATAATTGAAAATCAAATCCTTCTCGTTACGATTTTGCAAAATATATTGAATTATCTGCTATTACTGTTATTTTAAAGCTTAGCAACTGAGTATGAAGAACGTCAGACTTTGGCTATGAAATGTTACTGTAAACAAGCCTGTATGTCCACAATTCACTCTAATTCACAAAATTCTCATTTTCTACCAGAACACATTCTGTTTCAAAGAAATTCCTTCAATTTGGTACGTTCTACAAAATGGCAATCTCGAAGGATTTCTAATTACCTTCGTTTTCTGAGAAAGTTTGCTCAAGATTCTCGTATCAGTCGTAACGGTATCATATTCGTTATCATAATGTCCAAATTAGCATAACTGACTGTGATTAATTTAAAAATAGTTTAATCATTCAGCGAATGCCCCTCTTTCGTGAGTAAAAACTCTGTCATCCTGTTTAGTTCTTCATGTTTTTTTTCCTACTTATGAAAAAGGAGCTTTTTGTAGTGAGTTTGTAAGTATGTGTTGATGTGTAGAACCTTGCACCTTTAATGTTAATAAACAATCATCGTAATTAGATAAAAACAAGTAATAGCAAAAATAATGTTTCATCCTATAAGGTAAAAGTTCTTAGGTCAGTTTCCAACTATACGTCGCATAGTCTCCTCTCGTCTCTCCTTCATGCAAATTTCAGTCATATCGCGACAATGGTAACTAACTGCCTGAGTTTCAGAAGTGAATATACTAATGTGGACAAGTAAAATATAATAAGAACTGAAAAATTTAATTAGTACGACCTGTTATATTCACAAAGTATTATAGAACATGAATGGCACAATGGCCTTGCAGTTCATTCATAGACAGATGGAGTAGCAGGTCAATGTTCACTATCTCGATTTTCAATGTCGACTTTCGTATTGGATAAAGTTGTTAGTAAGCTTTAAGAGGGGGGCTCCGGTTCCCCAATATTTGGATATGTTGTGCACTTTGATGAGCCACGCAAATCCCATGTTGGAAAAAGCTTTTAGCACAAGAATTGTGTGCAATGGCCGACTGCGTGGTTAACGTTATCTGATTTTCAAAATTTTCTTCCCTATGTTTTAAACTTAAACTTTTTTAAAATTTAAATTAAATTTTTTTCAAAAGTTTTTCATTAACTCTGAAAAACAGTCAACATTACCACATGTAGCAGACTGTTTTGCACATTTTTTGTATCAAGACTTTCTCTCCATCATGCTTCGTTATTGCAGGATCTTTGGCAAGACTTTCACAGTGAAATTAAGAAGGAAGTCTGTACCGCCTATTTGTGCCCTCAAACTATGCCAGATTGAACAGGACACCTGATTACTTATATGCTTACGTTTTTTCAATGAACCGATAATTATTCACAGAGTTATTAATTAATTAAGTTTAAATTTTGATTAAAATTTAAAGTCCTAGTCCTCAGTTTAAAAAATTTGTAGTTCAGTCAAAAATAATCGCATAAAAGTCATTCATGCGTTCCTTGATAGCCAATGGTCTGTTGTTATGATCTGATGAAAACAGCTTTAAAAAATGTTGTTGAGTTTTAAGTCAATAATTTATAATTAACTGATGACCAATAAGCTATGTTTCCACTTATTTCTGAGGTCCCGATTAAAGGGTAACGAATTACGGGTACTGAACTGAACTGAATTTTTATTTTTGCAAGCATGTTGTTGCAAAGAAAGGCTAGCTTATGCTAATGCAACACCGAAAATAGTGAAGAAATAAAGAAATACTAAAAAGAACAAGTTACATTTGAAATATAAACTTATACGACGGACTCATATATGGCACCGAAGAGGGATGGTACATTTTAAGACATTTTGTTGATAGAGCACAAGAAAAGACAGATAAGTTAAAAAAGTTGAAGATGCTGTTTCAACAGACCCTTATACATTCTGTGACTGGTTTGATTCACAACGGTGCATGGTAGCACATTCCAGTCTTCAGTGGTACGAGGAAAAAATGACCCCGAAGCAGACTTTAAAGGATAGTAAGGTTTTTGAATTTGTTTGTCATGCGTTATTCTAGACGACCGTCGATGTGTTGGCGGAGTAATTAGGTCTCTAGCAGACAAAGCACTTCTCCCATTGTAGTGATGAAAATAAGCAAGACGAAAATATTTTCTTCGAGCGGAGAGCGGTGCTAAATTTAGTCGAATAAGAAGTTGTGAGGAACGACTGTCATAATCTCTAAGGATTATTCTACAGGCCAACTTTTGTACGTTATCTAACACAGAGAGATGAGAAATGTAAGACATATCATATAGAATGCAGCAGTACTCCAAAGTTGGACGTATGCAGGATTTATAAAGACGAAGATGAAGAGAATTTGGAGAATCGCGGAATACACGGGAAATAGAATCAAGCATTTTTCGACAATTTGATGCTACACTGTCGATATGACATTTCCACGATGCGTCAATCTAACGCCAAGAAGTTTAAGAAAAGAAGCACGCTGAATTATGTGATCATTCATCTTTAAAGATATTGTTGGACATACGTTAGATACAGTAGGAAACAACATCCATTCACATTTTGAAACGTTTAAAATGACAAAATTCGTTTCACACCAAGCCAGAACCTGGTCGATGCACGCTTGTGCTTTGTCGGGATCGGCTAGACAAAGAAGATCATCTGCAAAGAGCGAGGATAGAGAACAGAAAACTAGACTTTGAGGTAAGTCATTGATAAAGATTAAAAATAGGATGGAGCCAAAAATACTCCCTTGAGGCACTCCAGAAACAACCGGGACTGAAGTAGAATGAGCAGATCCCACTGTTACTATCTGGGTACGCTCAGACAGATATGACTTGAACCAGTCAAGTAGAGGACCAGAAATACCGGTCAAAGACAGTTTTCTCAGTAGAATTTCGTGTGGTACACTTTTTCGAAGTCGAAAGAAATGTCAGGTACTTTTGGCGATTATTTAAACATTTATAGATTGTATCTGTGACGAAAAGTAGCATATCTTCCGCCGATGCATTTGGACGAAACACAAATTGATTACGAGAAAAGAAGTTCGTCAACGTTAAAAAAGCGAAACGTTGTTTGTGGACAGTTTTTTCGAAAACTTTACACACGTTAGAAATTAGGGAAATAGGCCGATAATTTTAACAAAAAATTTACTTTCCTTTTTATGAATAGCTCGAATTATTGCCTGTTTCCGAAGATGGGGAAAACCCCCTAGCTTTAAGGAAATAGAAAAAATGTGATGTAATTGTGGTGCAAGAATGTCAGCACAAAGTTTTAGAAGTCTAACACTTATTTGATCAACACCTACAGAATTTTTGTTTTTTAGTTTTGAAATAGAAGAATAAACATCGGACACATCAAAAGAAATCTCAGAGAGAAGTATAGTAGAAGTCACCATTGGCGCGGCCGGGAATGATCCTGAAATATTACAAAATGTAGTTTGAAAATGCTCAGATAAAAGCTGAGCTTTAGATTGATTGTCTGTTGTTGTAGATGAATTGTTACGCACAACAGCAAGAAGATCACATTCTGTTGAGTGATATTTGTTAAGAGAGGACCAGAAACGCTTACTATTCGAAAAAGTATTCATTACAGCCTGAAAGAAATTATTTTTATCTTTACGCAACGATTGAATAGAAAGATTACAGAATTGCTTGTAAATTTTATAAAGACGAACGGGTGATGTTTACTTTTTGATTTTTTGAAACATAGATCTAACCAAAGTTGTATCTAACCAAAGAACGTAAGGATATATGTAATCAGGTGTCCTGTTCAACCTGGCATAGTTTGAGGGCACATATAGACGGTATGGAGTTCTTCCTTAAATAAGATCGCAGTGTTTTCTATTAAATCTCCTCTATGATAGACAAAGGAGTAGGTCTGTTTATCTATACTTTGATTTCTATTTTGAAGTTCTTATCCCATCAGCGGTGGTGACGGTGTTGAGTTGAACTTTTGACGTGTACTTCTAGGTTAGCTGACAGATTTTCTTGCTTGGATTTCTTCGCCTGGTTAACGCTATTGCTTCCTTCACCTCGTTCATACAATAAATCGATGAATATAGTGGTAGTAGGTCTGATTTACTACATTTCATGCTGCATGGACACTTCTTCAGTATATGTATGAATAAGCCCTATGTACGATTAGTAAATTGCTACCCACAGTTCGTTTTTAAATGTATTTTTATTTCTAGGTTCTGTTGTATTTTCGGATACATTTTCAGCATGTTCAGCTAATACCGGAATATGTACACCATTTAATGGTTTAGTAGCAAATTATTCAACTGGGAAAATACTTTCGACTTTTGGTTTAGATAATTTTAATAATCTAACAGTAGTTCATGGATTCGGAATGGCCGTGAATGATACCGTTGCATTTGGTATTAACGCATTTACAAACACTAGTATGTCGTCTGGTACGTTTGTGTTGATCGATACGAAAAGTGGTGCATATATTCAAAGTGATGAACTAACATACTTGAATGTAAATGATTCGAGTAACTGGCTTGGGTTTTTTAACGTACGCAACTCTTCTAATTATACAAATGACGGATCTATCACATATTTGAATCAAGCATGCTCAAATACATTTATTAATCCTAGCACAAATACTGGACTGACTGCAAGTTTGTTTTATGTTTATAATGGACAACCATTCGACACGGGTCCTGGTTGTCCATTGTGGAGTGTCGAATGGTATTGTAGTTCGAATCAAAGTACTTCTCAGATCGGAGGATGGATTCTTATTTCTGGTCTGTGGAATACATTAAACACTTCACTAGGATATAAAATTACAGGATATACTCAGCAATACTTTATAGACGGTGTACAGCAACCCTATGTTGAATGTAATCCGAATCATTTGTAGTCCTGAATAACGACTTATTTTCTAGAATTTTACGATTACGTTTTGTTAGACAAGCCAAATTTGTCACAAGTATTGTTGTTCATCAAACATTATAATATTATTGACGAAGGAACCTTTTGAACTGATAAATTGTTTTTTTAAAGGACCGCTCTCGTTGTGATATTCGAAATCAGGACGGTCGATTACCTATTCCACGTGGTTTCGTAAAAAACAATTTATCAGTTCGAAAGGTTCCCTCGTGAGATCATTAACTGTGTGAGAAACACCAACAGGAGCGATGGCTAAATGTCTTACAGCTTCTTCTTTCACATTAGTGTGCTATAATAATGAAAAAGAATACATATTTTACAAAATGCTGTCACAATTGTAATGGTGCATAAAGGAGTTGAAATATTATAGCTGTTTAGGTAATTAGTTTGCTATTCTGGAAGCTTTCGACTATCGGCATTCGAATTATTGAAGTAGTAATTATTATTAACATTAGGAATCCGGGATCGCAGTGATTACAAACGTATACGGAGATCATACACATACGTAAATATAAGGGAGTTACTATGTTCTTCCCTAGAAAAATTGTTCTGCATAGAGTTAACCATGCAAACCAAAAAGTGTCACTCATAATCTAAAATCTTGAATACATAGTCTACGTTAAATGGTGGTCATTCAGCACGTTTCAACTCATGTAAATATGAAAATAATAACAGACAATGCACGAACATAAAAACTAAAACTGTGAAGCAAAGAACAAGCTGTAACTGAGTTTGTGCTTGATCTTTTTTCTCATTTAAGAGCATTTCAGTTTCTTGATTTTTAACATTCAATAAGATTTTTAATTAAAATGTATATAATAAACGCATTTTTATATTCAATATTGATTTTTGCGACTGAATACGAGAGAGAAGATTTAATTTTGTTCTACGTGAAAATCTCGAAGTGTCACACTGTAAAAAATAAAGGGTGCCCGCAAGTGTGCATTTCGAGTCCAAAATGATGTGCAACTGCTTAAATGAGCAATTCAAAATGCGGTAATCCCATTGAATACTTTCTGTGTGTTGTTCTCTTCACTGTGCAATAAAAAAAGATAGTTTTATAATAGTTTAAATAAGGGTGTCAATTGTTTTGATCACCAAAAAAAGATACTTTTGATCACCAAACGCCTTTAGATACAAATGATCACCAAAGAAAGATACTTTTGATCACCAAATTTTCCAGCATCACATTTTTATA